GAGACATTATCTAGCCCCATTTTTCAGTCACAGGAACACGGCAGGACCCCACGTCCAGCTATCATACTGCTGCCTTCTCTATAGGCAGGCTTCTGTTCGGATCTCATCCAGACCCTTTTCAGAATACTTTTTTAAAAAAAGTGAATATTAGGTGTGTGTTATTTTTAATTACTGTCACTGATGTATGTAATTTGAAAATTAATGTTGCTGTAATTATATTGATATATTGAATAGTTATTCCTAGCATTTTAGTCAGACAAATTAAGCCTGTTTTTGAATTCATCTTCAAAGCCTTCAAGTGGCTAAGGAATTGGGAGTATGCAGAATTAAAGCCTTTGTTCTGTGGTTAATTTAGCATGAGTTAGCAAATGTAATTGACTTTAAAAATGTGGCATCAGGATTAGATTTCTCTTCAAGGAGAACTGTTGGTCTCTGTTTTATCTTGCCAGAGGTTTCTAATTTGTAACAGGTATCTTACGTGGGTCACATTCATAACTTGGATTAAGGTGATTTGTTTGGATATGTTGACAAGAAGTTAAATACTTTAAATAGGGGACATTTTCCTTTGGGACCACAGATACCCAGATTTTGAAAAAGAGATAAATGTACTATCATGGATTGAATTATGTCCCCCCAAAAATGTATGTATCAATTTGGCTGGGCCGTGATTCCCAGTATTGTGTGATTTTCCTATATGTGGTAACTCCTGCCTCTATATGATGTTAGTGAGGGAGGATGGGTGGCAGTTCTGTTAGTGAGGCAGGACTCAATTTACAAGATTGGATTGTATCCTGAGGCAATTTCTTGAGATGTAAATGAGAAAAGCCAGCAGAGAGATAGGGGGACCACATACCACCAAGAAAGCAGTGCCAGGAGCAGAGCATGTGTTTTGGACCTGGGGTCCCTGTGCAGAGAAGCTCCTCGTCCGGGGGAACATTGATGAGAAGGCTGACAGAGAAAGCCTTTCCCTGGAGCTGATGCCCTGAATTTGGACTTTTAGCCTACTTTACTGTGAAGAAATAAATTTCTCTTTGTTGAAGCCATCCACTTGTGGTATTTCTGTTGTAGCAGCACTAGATGACTAAGACATGTACTGTTTACTGTTGTATTCTCTGTACGCAGCATAGTACTTGGCTGGAATTAGGTGCTCAGTATTTATTGGTATTTTCTACGAGTGAATGAATGAATGAGTGCATAAAGATCACTAGGAAACAGAAGAGATAAAGTGTTTATATATAATCTTTTGTTTTCTGCTGTAATGCAATGTTCTAGTTCAACTGTTTCTCTCACTGCGTTTTGTACTCCATGGTGGGCTCCTGTACCATTTTCCACTTGCTAAATGCATGTGTTCTAGAAGGTTGTGTCCTTAGATATCTTTTCTTCTCAAATGACACTCTTACCCACTTTTTTTTTGTTTTTGTTTTCTTCCCATTCCCATGTCTTTATCTGGTTTTTCTGTGCTAAGACCTCTAGGTTTGTGGACTCCATTGTTGGGTTGGGTGTGTCTCCAGTCACTCATGGAAAGTACTGTCAGCATCTCAAACTCAACTGTGTGACTCATCCGCACCTCCTTCTGACTTTTGATGCCAGGCAGTATGGATCATTTGGGAATATCTCTTTTTCCTCCTGCTGTCTTTGGTCTGTGTGTCTTGAGTACCATCTACATACTGATAGCTCCAGATTTCCATCACCAATCCAGATCTTTCTCCTAAGTATCAGATCCACGTATCTGTCTGTTGGAGTCCCCCTTAGGAGTCTGACAAGCTCTGTATCCTACCTGTGTTTTATTAACTATGCAAAGACATTCAACTGTGTGGATTATAAGAAATTATGGATAACATTGCAAAGAGTGGGAATTACAGAACACTTAATTGTGCTCATGAGGAACCTGTATACAGATCAAGAGGCAGTCGTTCGAACTGAGCAAGGGGATGCTGTGTGGTTTAAAGTCAGGAAAGGTTCATTTCAGGGTTGTATCCTTTCACCATACCTATTTAATCTGTACGCTGAGCAAATAATCCGAGAAGCTGAACTCTATGAAGAAGAACGGGGCATCAGGATTGGAGGAAGACTCATTAACAACCTGCATTATGCAGATGACACAACCTTGCTTGCTGAAAGTGTAGAGGACTTAAAGCACTTACTGATGAAGATCAGAGACCAGAGCCTTCAGTATGGATTACACCTCAAAATAAAGAAAACAAAAATCCTCACAACTGGACCAATAAACAGCATCATGATAAATGGAGAAAAGATTCAAATTGTCAAGGATTTCATTTTATTTGGATCCACAGTAAACACCCATGGAAGCAGCAGTCAAGAAATCAGATGACACATTGCATTGGGCAAATCTGCTGCAAAAGACCTCTTTAAAGTGTTGAAAAGCAAAGATGTCACCTTGAAGACTAAGGTGCGCCTGACCCAAGCTGTGATATTTTCAGTTGCTTCATATGCATGCAAAAGCTGGATGATGTATAAGGAAGACCGAAGAAGAATTGACGCCTTTGAGTTGTAGTGCTGGCGAAGAATATTGAATGGACTGCCAAAAGAATGAACAAATCTGTTTTGGAAGAAGCACAACCAGAATGCTCCTTAGAAGCAAGGATGGCAAGACTACATCTCAGATACATTGGCCATGTTATCAGGAGGGATCAGTCCCTAGAAAAAGACATTATGCGTGGTAAAGTAGAGGACCATCGAAAAAGAGGAAGACCCTCAATGAGATGGATTGACACAGTGGCAGCAACAATGGGCTCAAGCAGAACAACAATTGTGAGGATGGCACAGGACCAGGCAGTGTTTTGTTCTGTTGTACATTGGGCCACTGTGAGTTGGAACCAACTCAACAGCACCTAACAACAACAACAAAACCCTGCATGATCTGGCTCATGCTTACCTTGCCAACCTCTTTCCACCTCTAATTCTGTACTCCAACAATACTGAGCTTCCCTTAGTTCCTAGAGGGTACCATCTTTTCTTTCCCCTTTGAGTTCTTGTACATGCTGTTCCCTCTGCTTGGAATAGTCTTCCTTCCAGTACTCTTTTCCTGGCTAATCCCTGTTTATTCTTTATATCTCAGCTTGGACATCACTTCCTCTGCAAACATTTTCTGCTCCGAACCCCTCAAGTCTGGGTAGAGTCTTGTGGACATGCACAGCCCCATGAACTTTCTATTGTGTGTTCTGAGCATTTATAAAATTATTACAGTTGCCTCTTGGTCTCTCACTAGACTGTGAGGTCAGTGAGTACTTCACTATTTCTTTTTGGGCTTACCTTAGTATATTTTTTTGAATTTTTCCATCTCTTTTCGGTCTCTTACAACCTCAGGGTTGTGCTAGAGTCATGCCTTTGTAGCTAATTTCCTTGCCTCCATTATGTGCCATTCCTGTCCATCTGCCAGCTTAGGATCTCTAAAGTGCTGCTTGGCCTGCATTACGCTCCAGTCCATAGTCCTCCAGTGTGATGGAATTCATTGTTTTCCCTGGCCTTATACACCATAAGATAAAATAAGCAGTCAGCGTAAGCAGTAAGCGTGCTCCTTTTCTACATTTTTATCTCTATTATAAAGACATTAATTACCATTTTACTAATGACCAACCTGGATAACTTGACATTTTTGAGTTCTTACCCACTGTCATGGATTGAATTGTGTCCCCCAAAAATATCTGTCAGCTTGGCTGGGTCATGATTCCCAGTATTGTATGATTATAATCTAATGTGATTTGCGTATGTGTTGTTAACTCTATCACTATGATGACTTATACTGATGAGGTTTACAAGATTAGGTAGTGTCTTAATCCAATCTCTTTTGAGATGTAAAAGAGAGAAATGAGTAGAGACACATGGGAACCTCATACCACGAGGAAAGCAGTGCCGGGAGCAGAGCGTGTCCTTTGGCTGTGAGATTCCTGCTCTGAGATGCTCCCACACCAAAGGAAGACTGATGCATCACAAGGACCTTCCTCCAGAGCCAACAGAGAGAGAAAGCCTTTCCGGAGCTGATGCCCTGAATTTGGACTTGTAGCCTACTGGACTGTGAGAGAATAAATTTCTCTTTGTTAAAACCATCCACTTGTGATATTTCTGTTAGAGCAGCACTAGATGACTAGGACACCCACCTTCACTTTCCAAGCCCAAATGCTGTCAATTTAATTTTAGGAACAGAGCACCGAGGGAGGAAGGAAACCTCATGAGCTTTGGATTAATACTAGAATGATAGCAGCCATGGTTAGGTCACCCACACATCTGCCTACATGTGATACTCAGATTTCTTCTCTCCTTCTTGTTCCTACTGCCCATGCTTCAGTGTAGACCCACTTTGGCTCTGTCTGAGCCATTGTCATCCCATCTAACTGATCTCATGCCTCCAGTTCTTTCTCCTTGCTACCATTTCTCAAGATCATATGGAATACTGTATTATGAAAATGCTTTTCTAAGTTGTAGACATGCCAAGTGTCCATCATCATGACCTTTCACATGGCTGCCAGGAATCTTTCTCAAGAAACTACTTATAGTTACTTCCTGGGAGACCTTCTGTCCTGGACTGTCTCAGTCGAGGGCTCCCTCCTGTAGATGGCGAGATGTACCTTCTCTGTATTTGTATTCATTGTCTCGTACTATAAAGTATTATTCATGAGTTTGTCCCTTTCCGGAACTCCTTGGGGGCAGGAATCATGTTTTATACATTTTTGTGTGTATTCCCCTCTCTCCCTCCTACCCCAGCACAGTGCTTGGCACATAGGAAATTAGCAGCCCAAATTAACTATGTGTGTATTTGCCAAATACCCCTGGTGCTGCTGTTCCCTCTGCTGGAGTTGTCCTTCATTACTGTCTCCACCTGTTGAGTCCTTCCTAGCTAGCTGATATCCTTTAATACCTTCAATACTTAGCTTCTTAAAGTGCTGTCTTTGGATCAGTGGCATTGGCATCACCTGGAAGCTGTTTTCTGCAAGTTAAGAACTTTGGAAAAGAGTTCATTATATTTTTATTTCTGAACACAGGTTCTTGCAACTGGGCTGAGTGGTCTCTACTCTTCCCTACCTACAAAGCTAGAAGAAAAAGGCGAAGAATGGCACTGCCTTCTTAAAGACGACTGGCTCTTACTCCCGTCTCTCGTCCAGTTCATGAATTCCCTGGAGTTTTGTAATGCAGTCATCCAGGTACCAGAGTACAATAACAGAACCCTTTGTTATGGTCCCATCTGGACACAAGCATTGCAAAGGATTAGTTTATAAGCTTTCCTTTTTTTCTATTTTAATAGATTTTTAAGGCTGTAAGCATACTGAGTACCCTTGGATGAGTGAAAATGTTTGTTTATAGGTTTCTGGGAAGTTTTAATTGAGAAAAAAATTAGTAGATTTTCTTTATCTTCTTTATAAAAAGTATTCTGTTTTGATTATCCACTTAACCATCAAAAATAAGTTCAATGTCTAACTCATTAAATAGATATTTTTAGCCTTCTAAGTACTCCAGATTATACCAGTTTTTACTTCAAGGTCTTCTTGGTAGTGTACAAAGAAAAACACTTTATTTTGCTTAATAGTGCATACTACATAAAGAATATTGTTATCCCAGTTGAATTAGAGGAAGTTAAGCGTCTTCTTAGCAACACAAATTAAATTTGCTTTGAAATCGGCCTGCTTGGGGGAAAAAAAAACTGCTGAACTCTTATATATTTGGCTTCTTGATTAGATTTTTACCTTTACATTCCTTGTTACTGTTTTCAATAAAAAATCAGATTTTATGTATACTTAAGGATGTGTAGTAGGTTTCCATCAAAAATTGTTTCATTTTTATACAACATAAATATTACTTTAATTTTGGTCTTATTATGAAATCAAATTTTCTTTATGGTGATTGTAGGGTTAAAAATGTTAGTTATAATCTTTTTATCTACCAAATAAAGAAATAGCTTCTAGAAGAAAATACAAGTAAATTACTTTAGTTCTCATCTCATTGTTATTGCTAAGTCAAAGGAAGTTTTATTTATATGTAAGGTAAATGAATTACATTTTAAGTTTTTTTTAATATTACAGTTTATCAACATTTTCTTGCAGAAGTGTGTGGAAATAAAAAAGATGGAACTACTATTGGTTCCTCCCCAAATGTACACACAAAAGAGATTATCAGTAATTTAAAGATCTAGTTGCACTTCCCTAGAAATTGCTTTTTACTTTATTGTTTGACTTTATTATTTTTTTTAAGAAAGAGAAGCAAAGATAATGGGCATGAGTAACAGCAGGGAAATTGTATGTGTCATACTATATTTTAAAATTGAAGCCATATACTTTAAAATTTTTTCATTTAGGGGTATTACTTACAAAAGATATTAGCAAAGGGTTAACCATGCCAAATGTATTTTGAAAATTAATTATTATAAGAAGTGCTGCAGCTCTGGTAATGTTTTCTGTTTTGGAACAGTATCTATTTTTTATGAAAAGCTTTTATAAATGCCTTCCTCCCCAAAATAAATGACTATTGGAAAATGCATCTTCAAAATGAGAAAATTCTTTCTGTTCACAAAATAAATGTATTTAATTGTTTACTTTGACAGTTATATTCTTTTTTAAAAAGATTAGTCACAAATTGAGATGGAACCTAGATGAAGTTATGGGGCAAAAATTATAGTTTTCAGATTATTAATTTAAATTTATGAATGCTTATACATATTCAGAAGGAAATTTGGTGGTGCAGTGGTTAAGCTCTCAGCTACTAACTGAAAGGTTGGCAGTTTGAACCCACCAGCAATCTGCTCCAGTAAAGAGTACAGCCAAGAAAACCCTATTGGGCAGTTCTCCTATGTCATATAATGTTACTGTGAGTCAAAATCAACTCGATGGCACACAACAACAACAATACACATACTCGGTTTTTTTTCTTTTTTCAAATAGAGACTTTAAAATTACCAATCTTTTAAATTTGGAAGTCCAGTTTCTGCTAATTTTAGCCAAGCTGTTTATACTGGAACTAACCATCTGGAAAAAAAAAAAATTACATGGCAGTTTGAGGTCTGAATTATTCTTTGACCATTGAATATTTGGCCAAAATTTGAATTCTCTTTTTGAATTCAGAGGGTACATAGAAATGTTGACTTTAAGACCTAAAGATTGAACTTTTTGCCTTTTTCATGACTACCTGTGTCTCTCTTAGGTGGCTCACCCCTTGATTCGCAGTCAGCTTGTCAATTACATTTACAATGGATTCTTGGTACCGGTCTTGGCTCCTGCTCTCCATAAGGTCAGCAATTGGCTAATGGTAATCTTTTGTCTATTTATAGTACTAGTGATGGAAACTGAGAAAGGTGAACAAATGTAGTTGACTTGATGGTGGCTTTAGCCTTATTATTCTCCTCATTCTGTCTGCATTTCTTAGCAATATTAAACAATGGTCATAGCTAAAGCATGATGGGATCCATTTGGTGTCATAGAATACAGCATTGTGAATGTCAAGTAAGATAGTCGGCTAAACTAGGATTGACAAATAGACTCTTGTTCATGGGTAATGGCTACTTGGAACTCTCTGTTAAGCTGTCCTCTGAAGCAAACGTCTGGCATAAGAGTACAAGGTCCACTGTGTGGGCATGTGAGGGGCAGTGGTCGCACAAGCCTCTTAGATTTGTCATCTCTTTAACAGAAGATAATTTTTTTTGTTGTAAGAGTTTTGTGACAGCAGAAATTAAAGTGAAACCAAGTTAAGGTCCCATCAAGTGTTGGCTGTCTCATTATCACCACCATGAATTCGTATGAAACTCTCATTTTATATAATTATTTAACAGATATCTTTTGCTTAGTGAGCTGTCAGGGAGATACCAATGGACACAGAATTCTAATTTTTAGTAGTTTTTTCTTCACTAAGAGACATGCACAGTACATAGTTCAGAGGGTTTTAGTTTGTCAAATTATTGGACTCACCAGCTGTGGCAGGGAGAGAAGCAAGGAACAACTAAAAATGTTGTTTTGATGGAATGCCCACCTTTTCACATCATGAAGCTACATTTTCATGGGTTCTGATTTTATAGAATCCAGGAATGCTTGATTATGGCAATTTGAAGCCTGGCTGTACATGCTGATGGATTTCTAGTTTCTAGCATCAGACCTTGATGAAAGATGTTCATCTCTCACCATTTAATGTCCTTTGAGCATCGTGACCTTCTTTTCGAAAATCAACAGGGTACTTGGTCTGACTAGGATTTTTATATTGTCTCTAGTTTCAAGAATTAGTCTTGGAAATGTGGTTTAAACATAAAAATGTTGAAATTTGCAGGATATTTTTAGAGACCAAGTCTCTGAAATTAGATCTGTCTTAGAAATTATGGGACATATATTTTCAGAAAATACAGACCTGTGTTTGTATCCAGGTTGTCCTTCTGTTAGTATCTTGACGTTCTGAGGTGGAGTGGGGTGTCTCATATTGAAGGTCTTTAAGCCGCTGCTTGGAGGAATATACCTCTTTGGAGGAATACAGCAGTACTGTTGAAATTCTTTGCCAGTAATTTTCCATATGTACTCTCACACCTGTAGACTTTCTTCCTCATTTATTTGCATCCTCTTCCTCATTGACCTAGTGACATGAAATAATTTCCCAAGTCATTATTATACTAATGATAATTATTATAATTGTTATTTGCTCAGGATATTTTATGTTATTAGAATTAGCGTGTCTTAATGTTGTGAATATTAACGATAACTGTTTATCCATAATTGAGGACAGAGAGCTGTTGTGAGGATCTGACTGGTCACTTCTTGTGTTTCTCCTTCATAGTACTTACCACAAGTCGAATTAAATCATTAAATGTGCAATTACTTATTCAGTGTCTGTCTCCCCAGTGGTCTGTGAGCTCCTGGGGGTAGGGATCACATCTGTTTTGCTCACTGTTGTATCTCCAGTGCTGAGCACAGTGCCTTACACCTAGGAGGTTGGTAGAACAGCACACAAATAGAATGATGTTTGTTAAAGTGCCAAACAGAGTGCTGGCACCTGCTACATTGCCAGACAGTTGTTCACAGAGACTGATAGTTAACATCTGATACGGCACTTTACGTATATTAACTAATATTATTCTCAATTATGCCCATAATTAAAATATGATATTTAAAAAATTATAAAGTCAATACATGCTTACTGAGGAAAAAATACAGTCAATACTGGATATATAAAATGAGAGTGAAAGTTCTATATTAGGTTTAAATTTCCAACCCATAATTAAGGTTCCTTAACTTTTATACATTGCAGACAACTTCTCCCCAGGGCATGGAGCCCTGGTGGTGCAATGGTTAAGTGTGCGACCTGTTTTCTGTGGTACCACCGGGCAAGTTCGAACCGCCAACCTTTAGGTTAGTAGTCAAGTGCAAACCATTTGCACCACCCAGGGGCTTCAACTCTACTCATATAGCCTGAAAGGCCTGAAAATCTGCTGAATGACCTGCTTACCCTCAAACTTAGAATAACAAAAACCAAGCTCATAATACATTTCTTTCTAGGCCAGTTCAGCTCATCTACTGCATACCTCCTTTTTAGTGAATAATATCATTTTTTCCTAGTTACCTGGCCTAGAAACCTTGATTATTATTGAATATTTTCTCTTACTCTCCCCTCATATAGTGCCAGTATTTTTTTCATAAGGTTCTTTAATATGATCCTTTTTGTTCTTCTGCTAACAATGTCAATTTAGGCCTTCATCTCCACACACCTCACCACAGGTAGTATTTGCTAACGGGCCTGGTTGCTGCAGGCTGTCTCACACATCACTGCTGGATTAAGTTTTCTAAATACTTCTGTAAATGCATTACCATTCCTCTAAAACCTTCAGTAGCTCTGTTTCCTACAGTCTCCTTAGTCTACAGTATCTCCTGCAGCACCCTGTTCCATGCCATCCTCATTCATGTCTCAAGGCTTTTCTATACTCAGTCTGTTTCCTTTGCTTGGAATGTTCTCCTCCTTTTTCTTTTGTTGTTAGGTCTTATTCTTCCTTCAAAGACCAGCTTAAATCCCCCTCCCTCCCACAGCAGTCACTGACTTTGGGGGTGCTGGGCTTCTGTCTTCTCTAGAATTTGTAGATCTTAGTGCCTGTGTCAAGGAGCCTGGTGGGGCAGTGGTTAAGTGCTTGACTGCTAACCTTTGGCTGCTAACAGAAAGGTTGGCAGTTCAAACCGATCAGCTGCTCCGTGGGAGAAAGATGTGGCAGTCTGCTTCTGTAAAGATTACAGCCTTGGAAACCCTATGGGGCAGTTCTACTCTGTCCTACAGAGTCTCTATGAGTCGGAATCCACGGGACGGCCGGTGTCAGTCATTTAGCACTGAATGACTGTTGTTAGGTGTAGTCTGATATTTAACCCTGTCTCCCCACCTCTTCCTGATGCCCCTGGAAGAGTCTATATCTGCCGTTCTCAAACAGTGCACCAAGGAGTCCTGGAGCTTCTCAGGGGCCCTGTGAGCTATTTTAAATTTATGAGGGAAACACAGCGCCATCTTTCGGACACGACATGAACTACTAGTTCCAGGTGGTCCACAGTTTCAACACTGAATTGTATACATATCATTCAGTGTGGTTGTATCTTTGCAAAGCTCGATTTTCGGTGGGTGCCGTGCTAAAAGCAAGTACCACATGAAATCAGTGTGGAACAGGAAATGAGGGTGTCAGTGTTCAGTCTGATTCTACGATTTGAGTGCCCAGCAGGTGCTAAGCTGTTAGGACTTAACTACATATTAAACTGGACCTAAATACTTAATAAATGGGGTTATTGGGTATTTCTTTTAGCTTAGGGATGCTGTGAAAAAATTACTGATACACTGAAGATACCACGGACTGAAAAAGTTTGATACCCTCTGGTCTATTTGTGTGCTCTTTTTATGCCTCTGGAGCAGGGTTTGGTGAACTATGGTCCATGAGCCAAATCTGGCCTGTGGCCTGTTTTTGTATATCCCAAGAGCAAAGAATAGTTTTCACATTTTTTCAAAGGTTGTTAAAAAAAAATTAGGAATATATGTTACAGACCATATGTAGCCGACAAAGTGTAAAATATTTACTCTCTGGCCCATCACAGAAAAAGTTTGCTGACCCCTGCTCTAGAGGGTAGCTTGTGTTCTGTATATTTCAGGTGATCAGTACATGTATGGAAATGATGATCACAGTGGAAGAAAGTCCCCAGGTTGAGAGCAATGGCCTAGTAAAAGGATTATCAATAATAATTTTTTATTTTTTTTTAAATGCAGTTAACAGGCTGAGGAACAGCAGAAGACAGACATGAAACACGCTGATTTGCTTTGTAGCTGGCTTGGAGGAATCTTTGTTGGGTGTGTTGTTCAGGGGTCCTGAGCTGGCAGGACACCAGCAGATAGCAATAGTAGCCGAAGATGGTGTCAGCTCTTGCCTTGGCTCTAGCAGGGGGGACTGGCAGAATGTGTGGAGGGAAGGGGTTGCATAAGCAGCAACCTGGTCTCAGTCATATCATTTCTGATAAGTGTCTTGTGAATGAGGATATTCTTATGCTTTGTGGATTATTTCGGTTCCTTTATTTGCAGATCATTAGGAAATTAGGACAGAAGTTTGATGCTGTGTGTGGTCAATGGAGGGAGACCTTTAGGGAGGGAAGCGTGCTGAAAGTAAGGGATGGATGGATGGGAAAATAATTACACACCAGCCTTTTCTCCAGGCACCTCACAGACTTTGCAGTGATAACTGTGACCTCAAAGAAAGCCTGTACCTTTGGTTTTTGCAAAGAGCAGCCAGCTGTGTTTCATTCAGTTAATTATTCCATACAAATGCACTTGGAAAACCAGAAGCAAAAAATGTAGAAAACTGATTTTTTCCACCATCTCGTACGTGCTAAAACCATGCTTGAACAATATACATGTGTAGAGTAATTTCAGCCATTTCTTTAAAGGCATGTGTGCTGGGTTCATAGAAGTCATGGTGGAGCCCATTTGTTTTACAACCTTGTCTTCCACAAACACACATATATATTCATGATTTGCATCCTGCAAGCTCAATAATTCATTGGTTATTGACTTAGGTTGATGGATGGAAATGTTTTGGGGCCTAGAGAAGAAAAGATGGAAATTTTGAGAGGCTGGGAGCAGTCACACTTGTTTGTAGCCCTCTTGCTATTAGTGAGTATGTGGTGGGGTGGGCTGGGACCACATTAGTTGGGCTCTCACTGGCGATGCGTGTTTTGGACTTCATGCCTAGTAAAACTAGCGACTGAAGGATTTTTAAGAGTAATTAGTTAGTATCTTCA